TGTGCAACATAATCTACATACCAGACACATATCAACGATGTAGATGTTGATAATACGAAGAATGTGACATTGTGTTTTTAAATGTTAAATTTTAGACTGGGTTCAGTGTGGCAGCAACGTTAAGAGTATACACCTGATGATGGCCGATAGAGGCCGAAACATGTAGTGTAGAAAGAACAAGATCAAAGACATATAATATATATTGTTTGCACTTAGGACGGAGTTTGTATCATTTATCGTGTAGAGTACAACAGGATGCTTAAATATAATATAGGATAAATTAATTTATATATTTTTTTAGGGGTTAGGAGTATCATGAAGTTTGAGAACACCTGGGTCAACCTACTGACTATTGCATTGCCAGATTTTTATTTCTAATATGAAAAAGCTATGAAAATGACTAGTCTTGTGTGAGATTTCACTGAAAAGAAGAAACAATGCATTTTAGATTGCATGAAATCAAAGAAGACCACACTTTTACATTGAATATGAAATCAGTTGATATGACTAAAACTACAAATAAAGTCAGTATGCAGTAAAATAAACCCTTTCGAGCAGAATGGGATACAATGTTTAGATAAAGTGGGACTGGTGTAGTTAGAAAAACAGATGCTAAATTATGGAGAAATAGGATGCTGGAGTATGGAACAACTTCATCCCTGGACAGAGATGATGAAGATGATATGATGATTAAATTTGTCAAAGTAATATGAAACTGCAGAAGTATGAAAAGAAGACTTGCACACACCAGTGTATTTATGAGACTTATGTAAATATTCTTATGTACAAAGATTTTATTTTCTTCCCTTTACTCAATCATCAAGCTGTTCAGAGGATTGTTTCATAATGAGATGTGTACCTCATGGCTGTGCCTTAGCTCAGGTGGTTAGTTGCTGACATCTCACCACAGGAGCCTGGGTTCAGTCCCAGTTTTTTTTTATTGCTAGTGGGGTGGGACTAAGTCCCTTGTACTGCGGCCACTTCTGGCCTATTGTACCAGCCCCAGATGATAGGTGAGGGTGATTGTGGAGCAGTTGGTGGAATGAAGATTGGCAAGGGAAACCGAAGTACTCGGAGAAAACCTGCCCCAGTGCCACTTTATCCATCACAAATCCCACTTGACCAGACCCGGGCCACCGCTGTGGGAAGCCAGCGCCTAACTGCTTGAGCTATGGTGCGGCCTTCAGTCCCAGGTTAGTCCAAGAGTTTCATAGTGAAGTTTTTGTACCTCATGGTGATACCATAACTCAGATGATTAGTCGAAGTGGTACATAGTGAATACCACATGGCTGTACTGGAGCTCAGATGGCCAGTTGCTGCCTTCTCATCATGGAAACTCAAGTTCAATCCAAAGGCAATTCGTGTGGAATTTGAGGGGTACAAGGCAGTAGGGCAGGTTCATCTCTGAGTAGTCCAACTTCCCCATACCAATTATCATTCCGCCAGTGTTCTCATCCAGCTCTGAGACAGTGGGCCCACTTGAGGCTAAAATACAAAGGAACTCAGTCTCAACCCACTAAAAGAATAAGAAAGAAAAGTTGTGTACCTCACATGGTCATGATGACGATGATGGTGTTTTCTTGTTCTCAGTAGAAGCTTGCCTGTCAGTTTGCACGCCCTTGAGGAGTATCCTGATGTTGAGCTGTTTGGGACCCACAGTCCCAATGAGTTGTACCACAAAGGTTGGAATCCAAACGTCACTTATCACAATATGCTTACTGAATGCATACTTACTTACTTACTCATGGAGCTGAGCCCTTCTTGAGGAGCTACCAATTCTGCAGATACTCAAGAATTTCCCAGCATTTTATGGAACCCGAAGGTTCATTACCGTGTTCACAAGAGCCATCTACTGGTCCCTATCCTGAGCCAGATCTATCCAGTCCATACCATCCCATCCTATCTCTCTAAGATCGATTCTAATATTGTCAACCCACCTACGCCTTGGTCTTCCCTGTGTTTTTCCTTTGGCTTTCCCACCAATATCCTATACACATTCCTCGTCTCCCCCATTCGTGCTACATGACCTGCCCACCTCCTGCTCCTTGACTTGATCATTCTAATTATACTTGGAGAAGGGTACAAATTATGAAGCTCCTCATTATGCAGTTTTCTCCAACCTCCTGTCACTTCATCCCTCTTTGGTCCAAATATTCTCAACACCCTGTTCTCAAACAATATCAGTCTATGTTCCTCCCTTAATGTCAGAGACCAAGTTTCACACCCATACAGAACCACAGGCAAAAAAATCGTACCAGCAGTTAAGAGGGTAGAATTCGTTAGTGATAGGATATCATATAATCATTGTTATGAATGTTCATGCCCCAACAGAAGATAAAATTTATAACATAAAGAATAGATTCTATGAAGAACTAGAACATGTATTTGATAAATTCCCGATGTACCCTATGAAAATTTTATTAGGAGATTTCAATACCAAAGTAGGGAGGGAAGACATTTTCAAACCAACGATTGGGAATGAGAGTTTGCCTGAAATCAGTAATGATAATGGAGTTAGAGTTGTAAACTTTGCCACATCAAAAAATCTTACTGTCAAAAGTACAATGTTCCCACATTGTACTGAATGCATAGGTTGAGGATATTGTAGAACAGGGTGCTGAGGAGAATATTTGAATTTAAGAGTGAGGGAACATCAGGAGGTTGCAGAAAATGTCATAATGAGGGGCTTCATAATTCCTACTCATGAAATATTAGGATGATCAAGTTGAGAAAGATCAGATGAACCTGGTGCAAGCATGAATGCAAGAGAAGACAAACTCTCACAGTTCTGATTGGAATATCTAAAGAAAAGCGACAGATTATGAGGTCTAGATGTAAATAGGGGAATAATATTTAAAAAATTAAGTTTAAAGAAGTGAGGTAGGAGGGTGTGTACTGGTTTTATCTGACTTAGGGCAGGGATCAGCGTCATGAACATGGTAATGAACTTTCAGATTAAATAAAATAATGGAATTTCTTGACTGGCTTGGCTACTGTTAGCTTTTCAAGAAGGCCACAGCTCCATGGAGTTAGTTCAATAACAGCATAATGATTATCCTATTTGAGAGGTATTTGATGTTAGTCTTGCCTGGTGACTGGCATTCTCTATGACTTTTCCTGTCCATCTAAGCAGGTACCATAACAATACCTTGTAACAGACGCAACTAAGTTTGCAGTCCACTGTATCATATTGTCTTTATTACATGTTCCAGCACATCCATACAAGGCCAAAGCCATTGGATACAGAACCTGTCACACCACAAACTTGCTAAATTAGCAGGTAGTCAACAGAACAATGCATGTAAATCCTCAACACTAAATCAAGCATATGAAACCCCTACACATCACTGCAACTACATAACCTACCATGTGTATATAAGATAATATAAAATTAGAACATATACATGACACTATATCAAATAATGGGTCATAGCTAAACAAGAACCTATCCAAAGTTCAAAAACCCAATATATCAAGAACCTATCCCTAATTAAAATATTCATCTAAAGTGTAATAGGATTTAGTATTCAAAAAGGCACTTAAAGCTGCTCTAAATTGCTTAATATCATGGATTAAAAAAAAAAGTAAAGCTATCCCTGTAACAGGCTGTGAAGGCCCATTAGGGTTGTGAGACGTTGAGGGTCCCACATTATCTAGATAATCGGCTCAAAGATGGCGGTAAGGTTGTCAGCCTTACACGCCGGCCGTGTTTTACTCCCCAGGAAAATTATTTAATTAATTCCTGGTACTTGTTTCTAGAGATTGAGTCGACCCCAGGGCCATAGTGCAGCTGGAAGAATTAGGTCAATTGATAAAAATCCAAAGACCTCATTGGGACTTGAACCCACGACCTTCCGGCTTGTAGCATTGTGCCTCAACCAACTATGCTACCACTTGCCCCTAATATTATATTTTAACTCTTTTATATTTAAAGGAAGATGATTAAAGAGTTTAATACCAAAATAGTATGGTCCTCTCTGGTAAGTTGTCAAATTTGTCTGAGGGTGATGGGTTATTGTAGATGGTTACAGACTTTGTGGAGAAATGTGCCTCGCATCATAGGTCACAATTGGCCCACCAAGCCTTCCTGTGTAATGTGCACAAGCAGCTCTTTCCTTGGGAACAAGCTGCCAGAATCTGAAGTTGACTACTAACCTCCATCCAGTTCAGATATTAAGTCTGTGTGTAGTTATAACCTCACTCCCCATATGTCTTAATGGTACCACACCATGAAAATGAATGTGGGGGTAGATTTAGAGCTCCACCTGTTCTTAACTTGGGCACTCATAATTACTGGGTTTTTAGACTATGTTCATCGTCCAGTATTCTATAATACTAGGAACATAACAGTTCAGAAACTGGATCTGTTTCCTTCCTCAGATGAAGAGGTACCTACTCTGTGGGGTACCTTAGAAAAACCTAACCTCAATCACAGGACAGTGCATGTCAATATAACTACAGCTATATATATATAACTGAGACCACATTTTGTTGAAGGGAGATAACAAGGAAATATGGAATAAAAATTGTGATAAAGCATGAACAGATCTGAAACTAAGAAAGCAAAGTGAAAATTTTGTGCAACCAACAAAGTCCATGAAAGCCAGTGCATAGCATCAAATGCTGGCTGAATTTGTGAAACCATTTTGTGCCTACCTCTAGTGCCATCTGTGGAGTAAGAACTGAATACTTTGGACTAAAACCTTATAGAAACCCATGATGAACCTGTCACATCATACTCATTTCTATGAGTAAGTAACCTCAGTGCAAATGGGAGAAATGTTTAAACTCGACTGGCCGATCAGATTGGTTAAGCATACCATATGGGCTGATTCCTTGTATTTCCTATACCTGCTGTTACTTTCAATTTCCAAAATGCTAGCTTCATCCCACCCCACCCTATGACCCTCTTCATAGGCATATCAGACTAATTTTGATTTCACTAGAAGACCCTCTTTGATATTGGACCTATGTTCACGAAGCTACACAGCTAGAAGTCTGCCTGTTTCGCCAATGTAGCTCCTGCCACATTCATAGGGAATGCTATAGAGGCACTATCGTCTGCTCCGGACCTCTTTCTGGCCTGGTTTTCATGAGTGAACTCCTTTTGAAGATCATCCTGATAGTATGTCAGTTGCCTGTACATTTGAACTTCTCTGAAACATCCTGTTGCCCTTGGAATTAATAATTTAGTCAATGAAACCTTTGGGAGAACCATTGAACTGAAGGTCACATATGAGGCTAATAATTTCATTAAACAAATCTTGTCATTCTTGGCATATGGTGGAAGCTCTATTGTGAAAACTCTGAATTATACCTATTTTCACATGTGGATGGTTAGAGTTCAGATATTGGCCAGTGTGTGTGTGTGGGTTTTCTGTAAACTTTGGTGGCCAGTATTGTCTTTCCTGATGACCAGAACATCCAGAAAAGGAACTGCATTCCTTGACTCTGTTTCCATAGTGAGCAGGATGGAAGGCCTTAAACCTTGAAGGTGGCTGAGGAAATTCTCTAACCCCTCTGTGCCATGAGGCCAAACCACAAATGTGTCAACAGCAATGCTTTATGTTGTCCTGAGTCAGGAGCCAATTTCTCAAAATGTTCTTTGCAGATGTTGCTAACAATGGGTGATGCAGAGCTTCCCATAGCCATACCACTTTTCTTTTAGAAGAACTTATCATCCACCTGAAAAATGTGTAGTTCTCAAACAAAGTTCCAGCAGTTCCATGATGGCTTCAACCTGCGAGACAGCCCATTCTGCCAATTTGGCATTGTTATGGAGTTTATTTCTGATGACTTCTAGGGCTTTGTCAACTGGTACATTAGTGAGAAGACTAACAACATCAAAGCTAACAAGGTTATCAGGAGATTGAACGTTTACAGACTTCAACAAATGTATACAAAGGATTCCAATTTTCCAGTAAAAGGACTCTGTATCTTATGGAGAAAATCAGCCAGGGCATGGCAAGGGGAACCAATGTAACTCACTATAGGCCTCAGAGGAATGTCATGTTTGTGAATCTTGGGAAGACCATATAGATGTGGACGTTTGCTATGGTATGGAGTTAACTTATGTTTTAGATCTGTAGGAAGATCAGTTTTGTATCTGGACAGGAGTTTCTGTACTTTCCTCTGAAACTTAGCTGTAGGACCTCTGGGCAAGAGTTTATAAACCCCAGACTCTAGCAAAGTGTTCAACTTATTTTTGTATTTGGATTCATCTAACACCACTTTGTCTGTGTCTGACTGAAGAATCCTAGTATCCTTGTTAAGCCTGAAAGATTTCAAGGCTTTCAGCTCCTCTTTAGTAATGTTAGTCATGGAAGGCTTAATTCCACAGCACATACCATGTCCATGTTGGAGTGTAGATTAGTTACTGAAAAGTTCAAACCTTTCCTAAGGACTACTTCCTCAGAGTCTGTGAGAACGTGTCTGGAAAAAGGATGAATTTATTAGAACCCAAAGCTGGGGTAGACACGACTTTGTTATGTTGATTATTAAGGAAGGAGAACTTACAAATATGAATCACATTTTGCTTATTAAAGATGTTTGTGAATGAACTTTTCACAGCAGTGAAGATATGCTATTAGTCACAATTACTTACTGATGACTTAAGAAAATTCTCCAGTTGTTGGTTTTCTGGAGTTGGGATGCCTTGTTATACCACTGAAAATGTATCCTGTCCCTGAGAAATGCCTCGCTAGCATGTTGGACAATTTTGGAAAAACGCCGACTTTTGGCAGGAGAAGTCTTTGGGGATAATACTGAGATTTGAATCTCATGAGGAAAATTATATGACTGAAGGTTTTAGTTAACTTTTCCAAGGCAAAAAGTGAAAGGTACACACTGGTATGAGGCTGGGGGAGTCTCAGGTCTGATCTGAAGGCTGTTTAGAAGAAGAAAATCTCTTGCTCCTGCCAGGAATTGAACCGTGTTTCCTTGGTCATGCAGACTGTAGCTTAATCACTATACTGACTAAGCTATGCTGTGGGGCATAATTAAACACAGAGGATAACTTTACTTTATGAGAATATTTACTCCAAACTGAAGTACATTCTTTGTTGGATGGGTGATGCTTTCAGGGGAGGATGTTGTGGCTCTGAAAATTGCTGAGCGAGTTCGGATTCTCTGCTGGGTTTTGACTAGCCCTAAGACCCACGAGAAGGCTAAACATGTGAAAGCTACGTGGGGACGGAGATGCAACATTCTGCTTTTCATGAGTTCGGAGACTGGTGAGTCCCATCTGCTTAAGGCTTGGACATGAATGCACTTATAACTCACTCTGTGCAGACATTGACGTTACATAACTTTACACATTAGGACATTTATCATATGCTTAGAGTTTCGGTTCTTACATGAAATAAAGAAAATTACGTGAATCACTTAATTATTCCCACACATCAAATTAAGGAGGATTAGATTGGCATGATATGCAGCACACATAAGAGAAATTGAAAATACATACTGAGTTTTGTTAGGCAAACCTGAAGGAAAGAGACCACGAGGATCACTTAGGCTTAAATGGCAGGATTATATAGTGTTGACTGGATGCATGTAGCTCATGGTACTGACCAATACAGGGTGAACATGGTAATGAAACATCAGGTTTCATAAAGTGCTGCAAATTTATTGACCAGCTGAGCGACTGCTAGGTTCTCAAGAAGGAACCTGCTCTGTGGAATTAGTTAGGGTGAAATGATGTCAGATTCCTTTCTTTTATTTTATTATTATTATTGCTAGTGGGGTGGGACAGAGTTCCTTGTACTGTGGCCACTTCTGGCCTATTGTACCAGCCCCAGATGAGAGGTGAGGGTGATTGTGGAGAAATTGGTTGAATGAAGATTGGTAGGGGAGACCGAAGTACTTGGAGAAAACCTGCCCCAGTGCCACTTTGCCCACCACAAATCCCACTTGACCAGACCGCGGATCGAACCTGGGCCACAGCGGTGGGAAGCCAGCAACTAACCGCTTGAGCTATGGCGCGGCCTGTCCGTTTCCTTACTATTTACACACCCTTAGTACTGGTCTTCTTCTGCCTTAGGGCCCTCCATCTATTTCTGTCCTCTTAAATCTCTTCATCTTCCTTCTTTCTGCATGACATCTTTCCTAACCTGTTGCTTCATCTTGAAATTGGACTTCTTATGAAGTGCTGTTTTCATTTTTTCTGATAATGTGCCCATACCATTTTACTGTGATATTTAGTGATTTAACATAATTCTCTCTAATTCTTTTAATTTCTTGATAGTGTAGTCAGTATAGCAACTGGTAACAGGCTGGATAACCAAGGGGTTAGAGTTTGAATCCTAGTATAGTCAAGAATTTTCATGGCTGCATGTCGTCCAGACTGGCTCCGGGGTCCAAATGACCTATTATCCAATGGATACTGGGGGCTCTTTCCCCGCGGGTAAAGTGGCAGGGGCATGAAGCTGACCATTCACCTCCAGCTAATGCCGAGGTCAAAAATACATGGATCTATACATCCACTCCCCCATTTTCCTTCATGGCATAGTGCTTAATTAGTTAAGTAGTTACTTTCTACCATTTTCTCTCTCTCGCTTTCCTCCCTGTACTTTCCTCTTACACTTGTTAAAAAATCTCATCCCAGCTGCTGTTAGTCTATTATTATATGCTTTGTCCATACAAATGTTTCTTCTTCATATTTTCAGCCTGATTATGTGAATTAGAACTACAGAAATGTGAAACAGCATTACAGTTCTGACATACACATCCGAGGGTTTTGTTTACTCTTGAAGATAGGATGGTGACAAAGATGATACAGGCTCATAAATCACATCACACTCGCGATGTCAAACAAAACTACTTGGACTAAAGCTTCTCCTCTGAATTTTGTAAACTGGATGATGGCTGGCCTTTCCCACTAATTATTGTGATACCTTGTGTGCAGATGTATCTCTTCCAGTGGTGAAACTGTCTGTGAGAGATGAGTATGATTATTTGTGGGGAAAAACCAAGCAAGCTTTGAAGTATGTGTATGATCACCACCTGCAAGATGTTGATTGGTTCTTCAAAGCAGATGATGATACGTAAGTTCATGGAAGTGTTTCAGTGACAAGACCTGTTACTATCTTATTAACAGATTAAGTAAATAAATCCTAATTGAGTTCAACTTTATTCATTCTGATCCATCACACTAGTTAATTATTATAAAATGAATTGACGGCATCATCCAGTGTGACTCAGTATATACGAGGGTCATACTGAAAGTCATGAGCAATAATTTTCTGTAAAGTAACATGCTTTATTATTGACAAACCAAATACACCACCTCAATCTACAGACCTTTCTTTATTTTTCCACATAATCGCCACTTCTTTGTACACATTTCTTCCAGCGTTCTGGGAGTTTGAAAATTCCCCTTCTGTAAAATTCTGTTCCAGCCATCCAGAGACACTGATGCACTGCTTTCTGAATTGCCTCCCTTGTCTCAAAACGTTTTCCACACAGCTGATCCTTCACAAATCCGAAAAGATGGTAGTCGGAGGGTGCCAGATCAGGGCTATAGAAGGGGTGTGGAAGAACTTCCCACCCCATCTTTGCAATTGCTTCCAGTGTGAGGCGAGCGGCGTGGGGGCGAGCATTGTCATGCCGGATGATGTTGTTTTTTCCCGGACGTTTATCGAGCGATGCACAATGGAGCTTGTGCAGCATCTTGACATAACGAGCAGCATTGATGGTTTGCCCAGTTTCCAGGAATTCGGCCCCTCTGCATCCCAGAAGACTGTGTCCATCACCTTCGCAGCTGGTGGCACTGTCTTTGCCTTCTTTTTTGATGGAGAATGCAAATGGTGCCATTCCATACTCTGCCATTTCGTTTCAGGCTCGAAATGGCGAAACCAGCTTTCGTCACCTGTCACAATACAGAGCAAAAAAATCATCGCCTTCATGTCGATATCTCTGCAGCAGTTCTGAGTTGATGGCTTTTCGCTGACCTTTGTGGTCTTCGGTCAATAACCGCAGGACCCAAAGAGCACAAACTTTCCTATAGCCCAAGCTTTCAATCATCTCCTATACTGTAGTTTTCAGGCTATTGTGTCCACAGTCACATGCCTGTCATCTTGAATGATCTCATCCACTCTTTCCTTGATGCGTTCAGTTGAGGCTGTTTGAGGATGACCGCTCTGAGGCTCATCTTCAATGCTGGTGTTCCCGTCTTTAAAATGTTTCACCCATCTTCAAACACTGCTCACACCCATGCATACACTTCCATAAATACGCTGAAGTCTCTGGTGAATTTCTGCAGCAGGGATTTCCTCTTTCACAAGAAATTCGATGACAGCATGCTAGCAAAACGACATATCGTTGTCGGCCATTTTGATAGGAGTGATACTGGTCACGTGATGCAAGCTATTGATGTCACAAGACACTCAAGGTTAACACAACAGCTGGTTCCACCTACCACTATACTCTCTTTCGTCTGCTGTTCCCAGGTTGCGTGCAAAAAAATGGTGCTCATGACTTTTGGTACGACCTATGTATATATGTAATACCTTTACATGTTTTGGTCAGTTGTGACCATCTTCAGAAGGCAATAACAACATGCTGAGGAACTACTATTACGTAAATCATAGTACATATGCTTAAAGTTCTGTATAAAGATTTTTAATTATTTACCTTAGAAAGGCATTTAAATTAAAAATATATTATTAGTTTTCTTAGTATTTTAAATCTTGAACTGCTGAGGTTTGTGTTGCCATGTCAAAATGAGAGATTGGGGTATTTGAGGTCCCAGCAGCATTTTTCATATGATTCGTTAAGGAGCTGAAATTATATTATGGGTATTTTATATAAAAGTGTATGTACTTACTTAATATTTCTTTGACTCCAATTTATATTTGAGTTTTATCTTGTGTGTTCCTACCTGTGTTGTTGTCAAGTTGTTTCTCCTTTCATTGTGTGGTGAGGCACTGATTTGTGGTGTGTTGTGTGAGGTATTTGTTTTCCTGTTCTCTGGGACATTTTTAGGGGCATGTACTCATGTCTTAATGCTATGTCAAACATACTGTTCTGGTTATCATTTTGTTTTGTAACCTTCTGTTCTTCTATTAGTTCCTTAAGTTGTTTAAATTTGTAAATATAGTAATTTTCTATACATTTCCATGCAACAGGACGCTAAAATATAACATTCTTTACATTTGTAATGTTACCTTTCCTAGCATATTTGATCACTTCCATAATTTGTTCCATAAGCCCTTATTGGTGACCTTTGTCTAATATGTGTTGGGCAAAGGCTGAGTCTTCTTTATTAGACCTTATGATATGAGGAACGCATAAGAAACATAAGGTAGTATTAGTATTTAAAATACCAAGGACTCTAATATTATATTTTTAACTTAAACAACTTTTTAACGTTAACAATTAAAAGTCTTTATACAAGAGTTTAAGCATATGTACTATGATCTGTGTAATAGTGTTTCCTCAGCATGTAGTTGTTGCCTTCTGAAGATGATACAGGCATACAGGCAAGCATAATACATTATTGTTGTCTTTCCAAGATTATGTATTATCTAGATTTGTTATATGACTGCTTTTTATTTTATTATTGTATTTTTATTTTTGAATTCTTGAGTATTTTAATTGCTGAGACTAGATTGCATTTTGCAATGTCATTTTGCTGACGAATTCAATATCCGGTCCGGTTTCCGGGCAATGGATCTGTGAAATTATGTATCTATGTATGTATGTATGTATGATCACAACTGACTAAAACATGTAAAGGCACTATATAAATACATACTGAGTCACACTGGATTTTGTTGTCAGTTCAATTTATAAGAATTCTAATTGAATTAACATAGTACTGCAGTCTCAAATTGGCCTCTAGTATGAGTCCCTAATTGTAGATGAACACAGACATAGGGCACTGATGGAATGACAGTAAATGGGGTAAAATTGAAATGGTTGGAGAAAACCTGCCCCAATGCAACTTTATTCACCACAAATCCCACATGAACTACTGTGAGATTTAATAAGGCCTCTTTGATAGAAGCCAGTGACTAACCATCTTAGCTGTGGCATGGCCTAATCTTAAGTCTGCCCAACTGTCTGTTAATACAATACAAAATCAAACAATATAAGTCCAAAAATCTGACATTAGCCATTTTCTGAGGTTTTTATATATGTGATATACATGGAGTTTTGGAAGTTGACGGTGCTTCCATTTCACATAATTCCTTTTCATTTTGCCAGACTTTATATATTTTTGTTTCTTATAGCAATGGTGTGGCTGAAACTTTGGACTCTTTCAGTACAATACTAAAATTATGGCTAGGTCTAAATGTTTTTGATGGTAATACATTAGACCATCTGGTTTTCACTTACTTGGATTTTGCAGAATTAATTTTTTTTACAGAGCAAGGTTGTTAGCCTTGCATCCAGCACCCAACCTGGAGGATCAGGTATCTGTATTTATGTCCCCCAGGGACAGGTGGTCCAGTTATACTCCCAGGCACCAGATGGTCTACGTGTAATTCAAGACAAATCTGACAGAATCTTTTAAGGAAAGCTATGCCTCGTAAAGTGGCATTTTGCCAGTGATAGTGATGATGAAGATGACAGTGTGTCAGAATAAACATGACTATTATTTTGGATACCCTCCATCGTCTTGGGCATTTTCAGACATAGCATTTTGAAAACCAGATCTGTTTCCATCATCTAGTGTATGGGAGGAAATATTTCTTCAGGGGCCACCAAGACAGACAAGCTCATTCTAATAAGCCCAACAAGCTTCACACCTGATAGTGAAAACTAATCTGGTTCTTGAAACTAGTTTGAAAAGCTGAAGACAATCTATAATGTCCAAAACAATAGTTGTGTTTAAAATTACAGTTTTCTGGGATATGATGCTGTGCAACATGGTGGTTAGGTGTGTCTGATATGTTGGTACACGTCTACCAAACACTACTGTGTCACATTCCAGAAAAGCACAATCTCAATAGTCATCTCTGTGACAACCTAAAGTCCGTCACAGCAAACCAAATACTACATTGGAATTTAAAAATCCCTTATAGGATTTGAGGTTCTCACAGCAGTGGTTATGAAGATTCTGTCTTCTGGGATATGATGCCATGTAGTCCACTGAAAGTCAACCAACTTTTAGGAGGAACATGTCGCCTCCATCTTCAGGGTCAAAGAATAAACTAAGCAAGAAACAAGCATTGATTGCCACCTGCTTCCATGCTTATTTTTTGCATGGAATATTTTTTTACTCTGAAGACATAGGTGAGAACGGGGTTCACTCAGCCTAATGATGATAATTGAGGAGCTGTTTCAAGGAAATAGCAACTCCAGTCTAGAAAACCGAAATTAATGGCCTTGGGGATTTGTTGTGTTGTCCACGTGATACCCTCTATCTGCTAAAGTTGGCACTAACTTCACCGACAAGCGGCAGTCGCTCGGTTGGTATAGTTCACTTGCAGACTAAAACTACTGAAGTTTTTTTTTAAGACATACGTGACAGGTTCCTCCGAAATATCAGTTAACTTTCAATGGACTGCAAGGCATTATGTCCCAGAAGACAGAACTCTAAATAACCCTTTTTGTCATAAGGAACAAGAAGGAAATAAAACTAAATCAAAACACTGGAAAACAGAAGAAAATGAAACCCCGAAAACATCATATGCAGGGTGTAACCGAAACATGCAAACAAACTCTGGATGTGAATTTGACATGGCAAAACATGAAAATATGTCCATATCAGTGTGTGTCCTGAAGCCTTTCATTTGTGTGTTATAGCTGGAAGAATACTGTTCAGACAAGAGCATCAGTTCAGAGTTATTATGTGAGCAGAGGCTGTGCCAAAGCTACTGGAAGATGCACCACTGGCAGTCACAGCACAAATATGGTGCATGCATGATGGTGCTATAGCACATTTTTGCTGTACTGTGCGAAGTGTTCTCAGTAACACCGTTCATGACCAATGGATAGGTAGAGGAGGAGGACCCACTTCATGGCCTCCAGGCCTGCCGGATTTGAAACCTCTGGATTTTTACCTGTGGGAACACTTAAAAATCCTTGTGTATGCAGCTCCTGTTGACATCATATTGTGGATGCCTGTCAGACTATCTGCAAGTATTCCAGTGTCTTTGAACAGATGCGGTTTTCCATGGTGAGACATATAGAGGCATACATTGAATCTCATGGAGGACATTTTGAGCACATATAAATGTACTCTTCCAACCATAGCTCACAAATTAAATGTTTCTGGACACACACTGACATGGATATTTTTTCTTGTTTTGGTATGTGCAACTTGTGCCCAAAGTTTATATACAACTTTCAATTACACTCTATATATATTATGTACTGTCTTTCTAGAAAGAATGCAGTCTTTAAATTTATTCTGTTGCCTTTTACATCTAGCTCTTCACTTTAATCTCTTATAAATCATTCTCCACACTTCCATCCATCTCAGTCTGAGCCTTTCCAGTTTTCTTGTACCTTCATGCTTAGTTTCAAGCTCAGCCACCCTTGATCCATTCTAATCTGATGCCCCAAATACTCCAACCTTCTCCTTTTGTTATTCAGTTCAAGGTCATGGATTTTATGTAATTCCTTCAGTTCTTGATTGTGTCTGATTCTGTCTCAGCCCTAGTGGTCCCTTGCTGATCCACATAATGCATGCTGTCTTGTAGGTACACAGTAGTGGAAAACCTGCGCTACATGTTGTCAGGGTTCAGTACTTCTGATCCGCTGCACTTTGGCTTACGTTTCAAGGGAAATCTAAAGAATGGCTACATGAATGGGGGAGCTGGTTATGTTCTCAGTCGTGAAGCACTGAAGTGGCTTGTGGAGGAGGCACTTTATGATGAAAGTAAATGTCTACAAGATGATTTTGGTCCTGAGGATTTGGAGCTTGGTGAGTTTCAAGTGTAATCGCTGACATGCGGTACATCTAATTGCTCTGTAGGACTGGGGAGCTCTTACTTATTATTCAAAGGCTTGAGGTTTTCATGGCAGTGAAGATTCATGGTATGGTCTGGTCTAGTTATGGCACCAGTTTATGGTTTCATAAATATGTACTATGGTGCTATAACTCATAATAAGAAGGTAATTCTTACGTTAATGACCTCAGGTCTAAATGGTGTTGAGCAAGCAGGCACAGTTTACTTCCAGGAAAAGAAGTTCTGTTACCTGTTTTTCTACAATGACATGCTGTAAAGTAACCCCTCCATTTCCTTCCTAACAAACAAACACATGTAGCAGTGTGAACTAAACTGCACTCATTCAGTCAGACTTTCCCACACTTTTATGTGAAGTTTCATAGTTCTGCTACAAAGGTCTCGAGTTATCATCATCATCATCATCATCATCATCATCATCATCATGGCTTAGGCCATACGTGGACTGTATCTTCCTTTTGATCCCTCCATCTTAACTGTGGACATCCTTTGTTTTGTTATCTTTTTTGGGTTGTATGTTAGAATTTTCTTCAGAATCCACGTGTCCTCCATTTGTTGCATGTGATATTTCCAGTGCGTCTCTAAATTACAGCAAAAGACAGGGATGTGCTTATGAACAGTACTGTCTTCTGGGACATTATGCATTGTGGTCCACTGAAAGTCAACCGGCGTTTTAAAGGAACATAACGCCTCCATCTTCAGGACCGAAGAATAAGCTGAACAAGATACCAGCATGAAAACAAATGGCAAGCAGAACTCTGTTTGTAAGATTTGAGGCTTTCACGGCGGTGACTATGAAGAAAGCAGTCTTCTGGGATTTTGCACCGTGTATATGTGGTGTTAACCGACGTTTCGGAGGAACGTATCGCCTCCATCTTTGCTTGCAGATTTCTTATATATTTTTTCTTCTACCCTGAAGATGGAGGCGATGCGTTCCTCCGAAACGTCGGTTAACACCACATATACACGGTGCAAAATCCCAGACGACTGCTTTCTTCAGAACTCTGTTTGCTCAGCTTGTTCGATCCTGAAGATGGAGGCGATATGTTCCTCTGAAATATTGCATGACCTTCAGCAGACTATACGGCCTTGTATCCCAAAAGGTAGTACTCTTCTTAACCGCCACTCTCAGAACCTTAAATCCTACATAAGGAAGTGTTTGTTAAATTGTTTTGCATTTTTATTGAGGTACCAAGTATGTGACCCGATGAGGTCATTGGATTTTTTTTTCAATTGACCTAACCTTCCAGCCGCACTATGGTCCTGGGGTCAACTCAGCCTCTAACAGAAATGAGTACCAGGAATATTCTTCACATATTCTTGGGGGTAAAGGGCGGCCGGTGATTAAGGCTGATAACCTCACCGCCATCTGTGAGCCGATCGTCTAGAAAATATGGAAGCCTCAACATATCAGAATCCTATGGGCCTCCATGGCCTGTTACAAGGGATACCTTTACTTACTTTACTTATCAAGTATGTTAATTAACAATGAGTACAGTATTTGATTTTTATTCCTGTAAAGTTTTAACTGCTGTATATTGTGATATTGGCAACGAGGTCAACTGTATTCTACATTAAGAACATGAATTTCTGCTAGTGAATTTATATTGTGGTTTTATTGATGGTCACCAATGTGTCATCGTGCCTTGATCTTTAGGGTCAGATCTCATTTGTCATTCATTTATTGATCCATGACTTGACATGTGTTACAGGTAAATGTTTGCAGAACGTGGGAGTGAATTCTGTGGATACTCGTGATTCATATGGCCGAGAGCGGTTCTTTTACTTTCCACCAGAAAGTTATATAATTCCAAACTACTTGCCAAAGGATTTATGGTATTGGAGTTTCCTCTACTACCCCATTACACTGGTAAACCTACTTATTTTTCATCTTCTTTCTTGAATTAGTTTCACATATTTATCAACCAACTAATGTGACACTTAAAGTCACTTTATATATCTCCATGAACTTATGACAGTGAATCAGAACTGATAAGAGAAGACTGATACTGTCATAAGTGTGTTTCATGAGGAGGTCTTCAGGATGCACCCTTTGAGAACATAAAATAAATTAAGAGATTATGAGAGAACTACAGTTTCCACAGATGACAGAATTTATAGAACAATACAGAAGAAACTGGAAAGAGTATGCTGACAGGATTTCAAAGGTCTTAAATTATTGTTGTGTGAGTGGGGGAGGGTGAATGTGTATGTGTGCTTGCACAGGCATTGCCTGGCAATGGCTGTATCCCTGGCTCTCTTATTCTTGCCATCAAGCCTCATGTCACAATATGTTTACTGTTTCCAGGGTATGCCGTGCTGTTCAGATACTGCCATAACATTCCACAAAGTATCTCCAAGCCAAATGCACATACTGGAATATCTCATTTATCACCTGCGACCATATGGAATCTCTTACCACCATGATGTTACACAAGGACCGGACACATATTCTGAATCTAGCTCGATAGAAGGCAGAGCTGGCACAAGCCTAAATGCCACTCCAGCTGATGAGAAATTCTCCCACCCATCTCAGATGAAAACAGCTCAACTTTCTTGATACTTCACAACAACAAATCAAACAGAGTTCTTGGACATCATGACAAAAATTAACACTGGCGTTTTAATTCTGAAAATAAGCTTAATTTACATTGTTACTTAACATGTTTGTATATCTGTCAATTAATGATCATGATATGACAAAAGAGTAACAGAATTTAATTTTCAGTTAACATAAACCTTACCCTAAAACTGCAAAATGTACCCCTCCTATAATTGTGCCACTCAAGTTGGCCATGTTAGCTGACCTGTCCATTGCACTGGCTCTGTCTCAACCCAGGGATTAGAGCTATTCCTTAGGGAAGACAACAGACATAGAGAAGACAAATCTGGTGGGGATGGAAGGTGATAAAGAGCTCTGGATATAATTCATAATTCCTGTTCTTTTCCACAGACCTCTCCATGCAGCTTTTCTTTATGACGATTGTATTGACCAAAAATAGCAATATACTTTTATTCCTTCTGAAATGTTTCCAGAATCAAATAACTGCAGTACTTAGTAGTAACCATAGTATTTATTCATTAAGTATATTTCTTGAAGAAAGTCGTCTTCTGGGATTAGGCACCGTGTATTCTTCGTTTTGGCCAAAACGAAGAATACACAGTGCCTAAACCCAGAAGACGACTTTCTTCATTGTCATCGCCATGAAAACCTCAAAACTTACAAAGTATATTTGTTGTTTAGCGATGTCACTGGGTTATAATAGTGTTGAGTAATTGGATAGTCAACAAACAAATGTGAAAGGAAATAGTCTTGGCCCAATTTTAAGTACTATTGTGGCATTTACTTGAAATGACAGGAAAAGTACAAAGAACCTCCACCATGACAGCCAGTCTCTGGGCCAAGAATTAAATCCTCAACCCCGTGAACACGAACCAGGAATGCTAACCACGTGACCACAACATCAGTGGTATGTAATATAAAAAATTAAAATTTATGAGAAGACTAGACATAGTTGGGGGAGGGGCATATGACAGCATATACCAATATATGTACAGAAATACTATTGACATTTTTTTATTGCTAGTGGGGTGGGACTAAGTCCCTTGTACTGTGGCCACTTCTGGCCTATTGTACCAGCCCCAGATGATAGGTGAGGGTGATTGTGGAGCAATTGGTGGAATGAAGATTGGCAGGGGAAACCGAACTACTTGGAGAAAACATGCCCCAGTGCCATATTGTCCACCACAAATCCCACTTGACCAGACCAGGGATCGAACCCGGGCCGCCGCGGTGGGAAGCCAGTGATTAACCGCTTGAGCTGTGGTGTGGCCCTACTATTGACATTACCACACTTCAAAAACACATTTTAAATAATGGACCATCATAAAAGTAAATGAGTATGTAAGCAAAAATAAACTTCACCATATTCATATAATGCCACTGTATGCCATCATCTTTTAAGCATGTAAGATGTGAGCATTTGTTCTTCCTTTCTGCCTTAAATTTACTCATAATAATATCAAAGTACACAATTTGTTTTGCAGGGGTCTCAGTATTTACTGTCCAGGCTTTTTACAAATCTGACACATTTTGAATTTATAATGATTTGGGGCTTCCTATTGCTATATTGATTATCATGATGGACACCAGATGGCATTTGCCATCACAGTAGGTATTTTTACATATAATAGTAAAACGGAAATCTTTCAAAATTAGTCGGGTACGCAACAATATAAAGAAACATAGAATTATAATTGTCTCTGGTGCAGTTATCAATCATTTGTATGGTTAGAAGGGAAACTACATTGAATGCTTTCAGGAACTGAATTCTGTCGTTGTCTTCGTCACATTTTGTGGACCAAAACCACATTCTCTTTATTCCTGTCCATGAGCAGGTAACTAACTCCACAGAGCTGACTGCAGATTTATGTAAGGGAAATCTAGAATAAAATATCATTAAGTGTGTATTCAAGAAATTGTTAAATATTACATTTACATCATTGTCACATTCAGAATCAAAGACATTTTCCCAGTTTTCATAACTTAAGTTCAATTTAAATTCCCTTATGGAGGAATCATCATAATACCAATTCTAAACAATCCATCTTTAAGAAGTTTATATGAGGGATTACAAAGTGTGAGCATTAGAGGATCATGGTCACGTAAACCATTATTGCATGGTTCGGTAATAAAATTTTTATTCCTACATGTTGGGAAAAATGGTATCAACTGAGTAGGAAAGTCTGCAATGTAGTCTAAATTATACGACCCTAAAAGCGAGGTTGTTATATATTTTTTTGTGTTATTTGTAATGAAATTTACATTAAGTCTCCACATATAACCAAGTTAACCTGTTATATTTTAGTGTCCTGTTGCACTGATTCACGTTCATGATGTGTATTTGTATTAACTGTCTTACAGTGCACACAATTTCACCTTTTTCTTCACTACATGTTTCGGCACTAATGTGCCATCTTCAGGTGTGGTTTTATTTACGTCAAACCATAGCACTGTATACCATGATGTCTCCTTTATAAAATGATTAAAATGTATATATGTCATGTATAATAATAAAGTTTATATATTAAAACTTTTCAAGATTTATCATCTATATGTCACACTTCAAATTTCGTGAATTACACGTATGTCAGTCCTCTCGTGTGGGAGTATTCTTCCTATATTCTTGTGTGTATCTGCAACGTGAAAATGTTACTCATTAATACCACATTCTGACTTCTGTATGTTACATGTGGTTTTATAATGTTTAATACTCACTGTGTCCTGTGTTGTGTCCTTCGCTTGTGGCTGCGTGCATTGTATTGCTGGATATGTGTATGTGTGCTGTCTTCAAATTGATTGAATTATGATGTAGTGGGGGTAGGTGGTGGGGTGTTGTTATGTTGTTATGTGTAACTAGTGTGTAATTCGTGAAATATTGGGTTATATATTTCTTTATTTATATTGTTCATATGCATGTTTTTCTTTGCTGTTCTGTATATATGATAGTTTTCTAATGTGTTTACATATTGTCCTTTCTTATTCGTTGCTATGATATCCATAGTATTTTCTGTTGTACCATATGCATGTCCTATGTTTAATATGTGTTCTGAGTATCCTGTATTGCTGTTATTGTGTCTTATGTCGTGTGCGTGTTCTTTATATCTGGTATTAAATTTCTTCCCAGTTTGTCCTATATATTCCATGGGGAAATCTAGGCATTTCAAACTATTAATGCCACTATTGTTATATTTATTCATTCGTGGTCCCGATTTTAATATGTGTTGTAAATTATTCTTAGTTCTAAATGCTATTTTCAATTTTGTGTCTTGAAATATTTTTGTTATATTTCTTGTTTCTCTTCCTATATATGTGAATGTTACCCATTTCGTTTTTGTTTTTTGTCCCTCTGAATTCTCTATGTTGTTCTGCTTTTTTGTGATGTTTTGTTTTCTGTTATTTGTAGTTAGTTTTGTAATTATATCTGTGTTGTACTTATTATTTATGAGTATGTTATTTATAGTAGCTATCTCATTATCTTTTGCTATTCTGGTAATGGGGTAGTTATTTACTCCATATACGAGGTATTTAATACCACAGCAACGGACATAATAATACCAAGTGACTCATGTCATCCACAAGAACGCAAGATATCTGGTATCTATCTATCATAGTATTAAAATGCATTTTTAGTGAACAACATATTCCTAACGTCTTTTTGAAGTGGTATTACTGATGGATATGTTAGTACAAAATAGTATGAAAGAATGGTAGTTAAAAATGATCGTGGAAAGTTTATGGGTGGTTTGAAAGATTAAAGAAGAGTGAATGA